GAAATATATAAATTGATAAATTTTTATGTTTATTGAAGAATACGGATCCGAGTGTACAATCACGAAGTTCGTGTGTTGTGATTGGGGGACTTGGATTTCATTTTCAAGTGATATTGGTTATGGTGAGCTTATTTTACATGGTTATTATTAACTAAAGATGAAACAAAACCTCCTGTTTTTGTTTCAATTGTCTCCATCGTTAGGCAATAGGATAGTCGGTGGGTGCATTGTTGTCATACGTTCCGCTGTCGAAATACGTAGTGAGTTGCAATGTTAATTATGTTCATACTGGCAAGTTATATGCTGTCATTAAATCTAAATCAATTATTACTAATCTTGATTAGTTGCCACATTTTTTTTACAGTTACAACGTAGAACTTCGTACATGAGTACATAAGTCCAGGTTGTCATTACCTAGCAGCACAGAGAAGCAACTGTAGGTTCAAATCCAATAGTGATAGCGATAGTAGAAGTATTAGTAGTAATGGAGAAGATTAGAGTTCAAAGATACGATTCGAGAAGTATAATTCAGTGACAAATCTTTAGGAAGAGAAAGATAGAGATTATGAGGAATTCAGGTTAGAATATGACAGAACACAAAGAACAAATGTACCTGCGCCATCGCAAACAATTTCGGGCCACGTAATTCAAGGTCTCTAAAGATAAGTGACTTACGTCTCGTGGACTCCAACCAAGTAACCTGAATCTACCAAAACGAGCCAGTACACTTGTCACTGACCGCATAGATTTGTGATTTCCACCAGCCAATTACTACACCACAATACATCGCTCGTCGAGGCAGTCGGTGGTTAGGCATTCGTAACACATATCCTGACCACCTCAACTTATAAGGTTTCAATACTTCATCTAGCGATTTGCCATCCCTACCTAGTACTCGTTTCCTAACTACATAATTGCTTACTCGGTTGTCCCAGCATGTATCAGCAATGTTTCGGAGATGCGTATAATTGAATAATAATAACTTACGAATATCCTCTAATCTTACCGGCGATGTTTCGCATCCATGTAATATGAGAGAGCGAACTACTGCGCAGTAGACTCGTCCCTTGGTTAGCAAACAGATATCTCGCCTACGCCATAAATGACACCGGTTGGCAAAAACCAATCGAGCTTTCTGCATCCGTGCTGAGATTTCGTCACACACCAGGCCATCAGCACTGATGACGCTCCCGAGATAAGTAGTGAAGCTGTCAACACGTTCAACTGCTTCACTCCCTTTCACTATTCCAAGTACTGATGCAACCCAATCCTGAAGAAACATTTTGTATTTCGACGAAGAGAATCGCATTCCGAACATGTTTGCATTGTTGCTTAGGGTAGTCAGAAGACCGCATTTTGTCAGCGTCTTCACCAAGTAGAACTATATCATCGATATACTGTGAGTCAACAAGCGGGTCTCCTGGTAAAAGGTCGGAAACCAGCCTGGTTTTCTGTAGTCTGCTCTTCACGAGCACCAGGTAGACGTCTAAATATTATCAAAGCCAATATTTTTAACGACATATTAGTTCCTCTGTGATTGTCACAACATGACTCTTGTCCTTATGGAGCGTGCCAATCAGTGATTTAGACCAGTTGGACGGAATTACGTCCAGTTCCCAGATTCTAACTAAGATCTCTGTCAATCTCACTGATAAGGCTGAACCATCATGCCTAAAAGTCTCAGCGGTCAACTTATCAACTTATCTGCCTCTCTCCCTCGCCTCAGATTTACTATAGATTTCTCAACTTCATAAAGACTAGGAGGACTTACATGGAATTACCATTCAGGTTGACTGGAGATCATGGGCTACTGAAGTGTGTCTGAAGGCCAGTTGAACTGATCTATAAAGTGTTCTGCCCATCAATCCAATCTCCTGGATTGAGAATGAATGGTACGATAATCGTTTTCCGAGATAGTTTAGCTAACAGATGGATTCCGAGTGCCACTCTCTTGGATAAGTCTAAACAGTTGCGTACTGTTGCCTATTGCCGCTGCCTTTTCAATCTCCCTTCCTTTCACTACCCCCCACCTTTAGCGATCACTGCGTGAGCTTTTTATCAGTCTGCGCTTAAGCTGACTTCGCTCTTCGCCGTGTTCAGATTTAGGTGGGGTAAGTTTGCGAGCATCTATCAGTTCGGTAGATGCTACTGAAGTCCACGGCTTCTCTCTGCAATTATGGTTTACTTTACTAGCAGATGTAACTTGTTTCCACAGCGTTTTGGATATCGATTGAAGCTGCCTCAGGGTGGGAACCATTCACTAAATGTCGGCCTAACCGTTTTTCTAACTGTTGCTGAAATATATTGTTAGCTATGCTATAATTAAGTAGAGTCAGTCATTTACAACGTATAACGCTGAGAAGTTTGTTCGCGGTTTTTTTCGTACGTCCATTAAGTCGCAGACAATTACGCACTCGCACTAGAGCTTGGTCTGCATCTGAACAAGTGCCCCAGAACGATCATCAGTCTTCTATCGAATCCTTTCGTCGGTGTCTGTTAACGATGTGATCTAGTTAGGTCCATCATTGGGTCATCTTTGGGTGTCGCTTAAAGTTGGTGTTTGCAAGGAATAAGCGGTTGTCTGAGCATAGTTGCATCAGATACTAGCCATTATCTGTTCGATCAACCGCGATACCTTAAGATCCACTCAGGTGTCTTTCCTTTTCATTTAGTCTACCTACTTGAGCATTGAAGTCTTCAGCCATTATTACTATATCATAGCGCCTAACGTTTAGGCGGTGGACCGAAAACTTTCTGTAAATCTTTCACCTTGTCTGAGTTTCAGTCGCTGTTAGCATAGGCATATACGACGAAAAGCAACGGCGAGTTTCCCTATGTTTACAGGTCCTTACTTTCCCGTTTAGTCGGACATAGCACAAGCGACTATCTACTGGGATCCAATCTAGGTGAGCTAGTTCATACCTAGGACTCAAATCCTTATCTACGATAGCGAGGACACAGGAAGGAAGATCAATGCTTCCAGATACATGAAGAGTAAATCTAGCTGCTTCTTTATTTTGACTAGGTTGAATCAAATTAATGACTTTAATAGGATCCTGGATGCGCGTTTCCGAGAGGCAGCATACATCGATTAAGCGATATTTTAATGGTCTAGTTAAGGAAGCCTGTTGACCTATAGGACACAATGTTTGGACATTAAATGCTCCAATATTTAGTCTTGAACGGGTTTTCAGGAGACCAAGAATAACGTTTTGTGAACCCACATAGTTTACATTAGCGATACACGGTGATAAAGGCATGTGAGAAGAGTTAGTCGTGGAGATAAGAGAGATGTTAGTGGGTATAGGAAGGATTTGATTTTGATTAATTTGGTCTCCCGTGCTGTTACGGTTATGAGGGTAGATGTCACTTCCCAGCTGGCCACACCGTGGAAGGTTACATCTCTTTAGTAGAGTACAAGGAATTTTTAATGAAATGAATGCTGATGGCTTCATCTGTAAGTAACTGATTTATACATGACCCCGGCACTATAGACCGGATGATAGACTACAAACGACTTTATAATAGATAATTTAAATCAACGTCTAATATCCAAGTTTTCATATAGCAGTCAATTATCGCGGTATACGAAACTGTGATTGATAACCTTTAGGAATTCCATGACAAAATTGTCTAGTTGTGTCTACTAAATGAATGACCCTACAGGGCAGTTAAACTGTTAAATGCAGTAAATGGCAAGGAACTCGGACAACCTTTATTTTTGGGATTTAAAATTAGATGTAGAGATAGAAGTATAGCTTTGCTACACTAACTGATATTCACAAATCCTTTTTACGCATTCGCAATCTCTGATTTCCGATTTCTAGAAATGACTCATTGCTATTTCATCAGGCAGCATTTCTATGGATTTATCTTAGTCACTCAGTTTGGAACTTATCTTGCCTATATGATCTTTGAATCATCAACTTGATAGTTAGATTAATTATACTTCATTTGTTAAGTTATTCGAACTCTATTCGATCTACTCTGTTTTAGGTAGCCGGACAGTATCAGTAAACTTTCATTAACATTGTGTATTCGAAATCTAATTACTTTAACCACTTGGCTTAAGAATTACATCAAATTACCCCAAGTACCCTGGTACAGCAGAGAGTGGAGAGAGCCTGCTCTACCTCTCGAAATGTTCTCGTACGGCCATATGCATAAATCAACTGCCAGGGAAGTCTTACTCACTGCCTCATCGTGGTTGAGTTGTTAATCACGAAACTGAGAGAACGAAAAGCAAGTATTCGGAGCTTTAACCGGGCTAGTAGATGCGGGAGATCCACCTAGGGACGTTAAAAATCTCTGACTCCAAACCATTGTTGTACATGGGTTCCAAGATCCTGATGAAACGGATGGCTCATGGATCCACTGTTGTTCAACGGCTGCCATGAAACTGCACATCCTTACGTCGCTCTACTGCCTTGTAGGCTTAGCCTCTTGATCAAAAGCTCAGAATGTGGCCCTCTAAGAAAACCGTTTGCTTCAGTTTGAACTTCCAAACAGTAACCCAGCCCATTCATAAATCTACTAATTTGTGTGACACATAAATATTTAGGTACTTCTTTGTACCAATGTTAATTCCTTTTAAATAAATAAATAATAAACTTAATACTAGTACAGTAATAATAATCGTTTTTGAATATTTATTCCCTTGAATTTTCATCGAACAGCTTTTGGTTTCAAACTTTCGCAAAGCGTTTTTATAGGATTTATAATGATCCTACTCTCTACATTTCTGCTCTTTCAGTGTGTTTAACTACGGTTAGAGAGTGAAAACTTTGATCACTACTTATTATAGCTATTCATAATTATCAACCTTATTGACAGTAACAATAATTTTACAAAACTTCAAATCAGAAAACGATAATAGATTCAACTCCATCATGTAAATACAGTTTTCAACATAATTATTGATTAATTTAAATTCAGCTATCATTTCTAAAAATTATATATAAGAATTAATGTTATTTCCATAAACTAACGTGCTTTGTTTCATGATGAAATATTCATGCATACTAAATTTATTCATTCCTTATTTCATATTTATAAGTTATACTGTTGAAAATTTACAAAAATCTAATCTGTTTTGTACAAATTCAATGTTAGAAACAGGATTTACAGACATTATTTTGAATAGCTCACTACCATTATTTGGTAAACAGAAATGGTTCAGCATAGAAACATTAACAAATATGTATAAACTTTATAAATTACGATTAATACATTACCACAAATGTTTTAAAAAACCAATCCGAAAGTTTGATGCTTGTTGGAATTCTATAAGACAAAAATTCATTGATTCTTTAATCCCAACAGAACATATTGATCGAGTTATTATTACAAAGTTTGAACAAAAAAAAAGAAAAGCAACTGTGACTGATGCAACATATTTGAAATTTTTACATGCTCTTTGTTTAACTGCATGTTTAGTCAGATATCGAGAAAATTTAGGACCAATTAAAAATGGTCGTATTCTCTGTCCATATCCATGTGTTATGCAGAAAGATTGTTCATTCAGTGAATGCAAAAACTATGGTTTATTTAAACATGAATATGAATGCCCTTGTAACGGTTCAAATAAATGGGACAGAGAGAGCAACGAATGCTTACCAAAAAAGATTTACAAAATAAGGCAAACAAGAAACTATGTAAGTAGAATGGTCTTTCATATTGTTATGTTAATTGATATCCTTTGTCAATATGAAAAGATGTGAAACTTCACTCTTCTTATTACAGTTAAAAGTACTTTTCGTCAGCAGAACGACTTCCGAAAAGATAACAGCAGTTTTTGGTGAATAACTATACAACTGTTAACAAAATTTGAAGAAAATAATGCACTGTTCGATTTATTACACTTGAGATCATGTGAAAAAGTCACTCAATATTATCTCGTATTCTCATGATTAAATCATATTCGAAAAATCGAAAACTACTAACCAAATCCTACATATGTGAAACAAGTAATTTAGTTAGTCAGCGTAAAATCTCTTTATAAATATATATAGATTATCAATACGCATGCCAACAAGTCAATGGTTGAACACAATGTCACTTTGTACACTCTGACTGTTAAATGTGTTTAGATATTCCAATGAATAAGATAGACAAACCTTACTACATAATTAAATTCCTTGGACGTATACATTCTAAATATGTAGACAACGTTCCAAGTTACCACACTCCGTCAACACAGCGAAAGAAATCATCTATGAGTTGTACAGTTAGAAGCAGCATTTTTAGGTAACAGAAAAGATTAGACACCGAAGATACAGTTCGAGAACAAAATATAGAAGACTATCGGAATAAAAATCAAGAAATGTATGAAGAAATTTGAAAACCTAAGATCTAGGTGATGACAAAGAGTAAGTGTACCTGCGGAATGGTAGACGTTTTCGAGTCATGCTACCTAGACTCTAATCATTTGTTGTCTGCGATAATCGCAGACCTCAACCACGTAGTCTGCTTTTACCCATATGGCTCAGTTCAACAGTCAGCATTCCTGTAGACTGGTTTCATGTTTTGATTTTTCGCCCCATAACTTTCAACCTACTCCTACATTAGCTACCATTACTCATCGAAATAATCAGTAAATAGACATGTATAACATATGCCTCATTCATCACAGTTGATGAAAATCCACTACTTCGTTAGTCGATCAGCAACCCGTACCTAGTACCCTATGTCTAACTTGAGGGTTGCAAACAAGATGGTCTCGACGTATTCAAAAAATATTTGGAAGGAGGTCATCTACGATCGGATTCTAGTAACCGGTGAATAACTTGTATTTCTGAACAGCACGTTTCATACCTGTGAGGTACAGCTGAGTAGACTGTTGTTGAATGTATTTGTCATTCAGTGTATGGATGAATATCTTGCCTGCGTCACAACTGATGCAAGTTAGTAGATACCAACTCAATGGAGAGGACGCAACATTGGAGAACAATTGAAAACGGATTAAGGAGGCATTCACTTCAACATGTCACGAAGTTCTGGGTCACAAGAAGTACCATCACAAGGAATGGATCTCTGTTGATACTCTTGCAAAAATTGAAGAAAGGAGGAACAAGAGGGCAGCAATCAATGTCAGCCGAACAAGAGCAGAGAAAGTTGCCGCACAAGCTGCATACACAGAAGCAGACAGGGAAGTGAGGAAAAGCATGAGAGCTGACAAACAAAAATATGTGGAAGATCTAGCAATGAAGGCGGAAAATGCTGCAAGAGAAGGAAACTTGAGACAATTGTACGAAACAACAAAGAAGCTCGCCGGAAAATATCGTAAACCAGAACGACCAGTGAAAAGCAAGGAAGGCAAAGTAATCAGCAACATGGAAGAACAGAGAAATAGGTGAGTAGAGCACTTTCAGGAACTCTTGATTCGACCAGCTCCACTGAACACACCTAACATCGAAGCAGCATCCACGGACCTCCCAATTGATATTGGCGCACCTACAATTGAGGAGATCAGTATGGCCATCAGACAAATCAAGAGCGGCAAAGCAGTAAGACTAGAAAACATTCCAGCAGAGGCAATGAAAGCAGATGTGGAAGCAACTGCGAAAATATTTCACATCCTCTTCAAGAAGATTTGGGATGAGGAACAAGTACCATCAGGTTGGAAAGAAGGATATCTGATCAAAATACCAAAGAAAGGCGATCTCAGCAAGTGTGAGAACTACAGAGGCATCACTCTTCTTTCAATAGCAGGCAAAGTCTTCAACAGAATGAAGGACTTCATAGACGCCCAACTTCGAGATCAACAGGCCAGATTTTGTAAGGATCGATCGTGTACTGTCCAAATCGCTACATAACGGTTCATTGTGGAATAATCAATAGAATGGAACTCACCACTCTACATCAACTTCATCGACTACGAGAAAGCATTCGATAGCGTGGATAGGAAAACACTGTGGAGGCTTCTTCGACACTACGGTGTGCCTGAGAAAATAGTTAACATCATACGGAATTCTTATGATGGATTCAACTGCAAAATCGTGCACGGAGGTCAGCTGACAAACTCTTTCGAGGTGAAGACCGGTGTCAGGCAAGGTTGCTTACTCTCACCCATTCTCTTTCTCCTGGTCATCGACTGGATTATGAAGACGTCAACATCTGGAGGGAAGCACGGTATCAACTGGACAGTTAGGACTCAGCTGGACGATCTGGACTTCGCAGATGACCTGGCTCTTCTATCTCACACGCAACAACAAATGCAAGAGAAGACAACCAGTTTAGCAGCAGCCTCTGCAGCAGTAGGTCTCAACATACATAAAGGGTTAGTAGGATTCTACGTTACAACACAACATGCACTAACCAAATCACTGTTGATGGACACACCTGAGAGGACGTTAACACCTTTACATATCTGTGCAGCATCATCGATATCATCGAGACAAGCCCTCACATGGAACCCTCAAGGTCAGAGGAAAAGAGGAAGGTCAAGGAACACATTACGCCGAGAAATATAGAAAGATATGAGAGGAATGAACAAATATTGGACAGAACTAGAGAGGGAAGCCCAGGACAGAGTTGGTTGGAGGGAACTGGTGGGCGGCCTACGCTCCGTTGGGGGTAACAGGCGTAAGTAGGTAAGTAGATACCACCTGAGCTGTGTGAATTTTTGTTGAAAGTTCTCTCATACATCAGGGCACCGAAGCTGACGATTCCCCATATTTCAAACTCTCCAACTGCTGTGTCGATACTAAACCACCAGGGCTTTTTTCTGTGCTTCAGCTGAGATCTAATGATCGTTTCTTACGACTTCAGTCGATTCAGGCTATTTCATTGCTAATCGCAGTAGCTACCTATTGCTCATGAGTTTAAAATGGTTTTGCAGTTGATATCAACCTTCAACCAGCAACACATCCAGTTTTAACTAATCTTCATGAGATATGCAAATCAGTAATATATTACAGAGATTAAATTACTAACTTATTTTAGATATAAACGCTAAAATACTGGATATACTCGATATCTATTGAGTTTCGCTTCGGCAGTCTGAAGGTTAAGAGTTTGATGTGGTGATTATTGAGCTGAAGTTCAGATCCTCTAGTCGTTAGATATACAGTTTCGACGAATCTCATAATGGCATGAAACAACTGTCCAATAGTTACTAACTTTCTCAAATTACTTCATTGAAACTAGTCCATTATGTAAACTACGAAATCTAATAATCGCTAGAAACTCCCTAAATCAATAAGTGATCGATGGTTTTTATTTGTATTTTTATTTCATCAAAACATATCCTAATTTTTTTTTCATTTATTTTACTAGCCAGATATGATTATGAGAGAAAAGATTCTAAGGCAAAGAAAACCGAGGAATTGTGAGTACAACAGTAAATGTAATAAAAATGGTACACTATTTTGTTCATTAGATTCAAATTATGGGGTTAGTAAGATAATTCGTTCAGTGTATTGTGAATTCTTATCCTATCAAAATTTAAAATTGTTTTACACAGATTTTATAATACAAATGAATGTTCACGGAGTACAAATATTATCAATAAAAATGAACTTTCCAGCTACAAACAGATAGTTTAAAAAATTTAAGATGTTTGATTTGAATCCATTTTTATGGATTGGTGATGCCTTTAACCATGAGCTAAAGAATGTATCATTTGAAGAAGATATTACTTCTCCTTGATTAAAGAAATTAAGAACTGTCGTAAAAGATTTCAATGTTCTTTAAATTTACTGCATCATCGATAGCCGTATTTCATCTTTAGACTGAGAATGATTTCTTTATCGCAAACAAGTTTTAATTCACAGTTGCTTATGATATATTTCTTAGGAATATATATACTTTTAATTCATATTATAAAATGCGATGAGCGAGGTAGGATTGAGGTTACGCTTTGTCAACAAGTGTTTGTGGTTGTAAATGTGGATTAATTTTTTCTCAATAAGAATTCTTATGATGCGCAACTAGGAAATAAATTGAAAAAGAGGAAGAAAAACGTCATGAATAATTCAGAAGATTAGAGTTTGGGAGAAGATAAGTGATGGATGCATTTGTACCAATATAAACAATTTTAGGCCATGTCATTCAAGTTCTTTAACCATCGGTTGCTATCGTCTCTCGGACTCCATCCACGTAGTCCACACCCACTATATTGTTCAGCACAGTTATCAGTAACTTTACAGATTTGTGCTATGTTTTGGTTTGGCCGCCCCTAGCCTTCTTCCAGCCTACTTCTGCACCACAAAAAATCACTTGTCGAGGCAGGCGGTGACTGGGAATAGGTAGCACATGTTCCAACCACCTCAACTGATGAAGTTCCACTACTTCATCTGTTGATCTGCCATCCTTACCAAGTACCCGTTTCCTAACAACAGCGTTGCTTACCCGATGGTCCCAGGATATAAGAGCAATGCCTCGAAGACACCTATGATCGAATACTAGTAACCAACGAATATTCTAAATTATTACTGACCATTTTCCAAACTCAAATAGTAGAACGGAGCGAATTGAGGCGCAGTTGACTAGTCTTTCAGTTAGTTGGTGGATATCTCGCTTACGCCATAAATGACATAAGCTGACAAAAGCTGGTAGAGCATTCCGTATCCGTGCTGAGATTTCGTCAGTTACCAGGCCATCAGAGATAAGTGAAGCGGTCGACACGCTCAACTACTTCACTCCCTATCTTTAGTTCAGGTGCCAACGCAAGCCAATCTTGAAGTAATATTTTGCATTTCGACGGGGAAAACCGTATTTCGAATATGTTTACATCGTTGCTTTTAACTGTTTTAGAATTTAAATGCCACAAAGTTTTAAGTTAGGTAAAGAATTTTTTAAATATGAAACGATAACATAATTTTTGTTAATCAGCGGTTTTGTAGATCCTCTAAATGTATTTTGCTATGAACCCCATAATATAGTAATGATTGTTTGCAAAATTATGATCCTACGATTTTATCTGTTAGGTTATATTTGTTCCATAATTAAAAAAATTCGATTAACTATCACAACCAGTAATAAATATGAGATGATTACTCTCATTGCAATCGCAAATCGATCAACGATGGATCACCATTGCAAACCTGGAAGCTCTGGAGAGAGAAAAATACTATCTAAGTAGAGTAAACTTAAATATTTCTCACATTTCGATCGAACGTACTTTTTTCGTTGCAATCAAAATTTTTAATACAAAAAATGAAAATAATTGAGTGCTTTCATGAATTTTATTTTAGTTTTTATTACAATGCCAGTCAAATTTTGATATTCAAGAAAAGGATTGATAAATTAATTGTTAGCAAACGGGTGGAGCTCATGGTGTTGAAGCTCGAAGAACTAGCTATCTTAGACTCGATCCATGTAGACAGTTGCCTGTGCACTGTCCGACTAAACGGGATGGTATGGACTCGTAAGGAAAATTAAATCGCCGTTTCCCTTCGTCGTGTCTGCCTACGCTCCCACCGACTGCAGCTCAGACGAGATAAAAGATGAGTTTTACCGAAACCTTTCTAACCTCCTCCGAAACGTGAGGCGCTCTAATACAGTAATGGTGGCTGGTATTTGCAATGTTCAAGTAGGTAGACTAAGTGAAAAAGAAAGACGACTGGGTGGATCTTATGGTGTCGCTGTTGATCGAACAGATGATGGCGAACGCCTGTTAGAATTATGCTCAGATAACCGATTATTCCTAGTAGACACCAACTTCAGACATAAGGAAAGACATCTGACTTGGTGACCCCCAAAGTCGTCGCAACGCTGGACCCGAATCGATCACATGTCTAACATTTAGCAATGGAGAGGTTCGATAGAAGACTATCGCTCGTTCTGGAGCACTTGTTTAGATTCGGATCATGCCCTATTGCGAGTGCGTACTGGACTTACGAATAAAACCTCAAGTAAACCTCTTAGTGTTCTACTTAATGATAGCATAGCTAACAATATATTTCAGCAACAATTAGAAAAACAGTTAGGCAACCAACCTGAAGCAGCTTAGGACGATATACAAAACGCTGTAGAAACAAGTTATATCTGCTGGTAAAGTAAACCATAATTGCAGAGAGAAGCCGTGGACTTCAGTAGCATCTACCGAACTGAAAGATGCTCGCAAACTTACCCCACCTAAATCTGAACACGGCGAAGAGCGAAGTCAGCTTAAGCGCAGACTGACAAAAAGCTCACGCAGTGATCGCTAAAGGTGGGGGGTAGTGAAAGGAAGTGAGATTGAAAAGGCAGCGGCAATAGGCAACAGTACGCAACTGTTTAGACTTATCCAAGAGAGTGGCACTCGGAATCCATCTGTTAGCTAAACTATCTCGGAAAACGATTATCGTACCATTCATTCTCAATCCAGGAGATTGGATTGATGGGCAGAACACTTTATAGATCAGTTCAACTGGCCTTCAGACACACTTCAGTAGCCCATGATCTCCAGTCAACCTGAATGGTAATTCCATGTAAGTCCTCCTAGTCTCTATGAAGTTGAGAAATCTATAGTAAATCTGAGGCGAGGGAGAGAGACAGATAAGTTGATAAGTTGACCGCTGAGACTTTTAGGCATGATGGTTCAGCCTTATCAGTGAGATTGACAGAGATCTTAGTTAGAATCTGGAAACTGGACGTAATTCCGTCCGATTGGTCTAAATCACTGATTGGCACGCTCCATAAGGACAAAAGTCATGTTGTGACAATCACAGAGGAACTAATATGTCGTTAAAAATAGTGGCTTTGATAATATTTAGACGTCTATCTGGTGCTCGTGAAGAGCAGACTACAGAAAACCAGGCTGGTTTCCGACTTGAAAGTGGCCGTATAGACCTCATATTCACACTACGACTGGTCCTGGAACATAGGCACACATTCACACACCCCACAGTGATAGTATTTCTCGACCTTAAGTCGGCATTTGACTCTGTTGATCGTGAGGTTCTGTGGCAGTGTCTTTCATTGAAAGGTGTACCAGAGAACTACAATAACCTCATATAAGCCCTCTACTCGAACACTACTGGTCGAGTGAGAGCTTATTGTGAACTGTCATCGGAATTCTCTACTTCAAGTGGTGCAGTCGACGCTGTTCACTTTTGCCATTCTTGCTTGACTTTGTCATAGACATGCTCCTGGATATAACCTTATCCTCATTTGAATTTTCAGGAGTAGACCTTTTACCAGAAGACTCGCTTGTTGACTTATAGTATGTCGATGACATAGTTCCACTTGGTGAATAGGATGACAAAATGCAGTCTTCTGACTACCCTAAGCAACAATGCAAGCATGTTCGGAATGCGATTCTCTTCGTCGAAATACAAAATGTTTCTTCAGGATTGGGTTGCGTCAGTACCTGGAATAGTGAAAGGGAGTGAAGCAGTTGAACGTGTTGACAGCTTCACTACTTATCTCGGGAGCATCATCAGTGCTGATGGCCTGGTGACTGACGAAATCTCAGCACGGATGCAGAAAGCTCGATTGGTTTTTGCCAACCGGTGTCATTTATGGCGTAGGCGAGATATCTGTTTGCTAACCAAGGGAAGAGTGTACTGCGCAGTAGTTCGCTCTGTCCTACTTTATGGCTGTGAAACTTGGCCAGTAAGAGTAGATGTTCATAGGTTGCTAGTTTTTGATCATAGGTGTCTCCGGAGTACTGCTCTTGTATCATGGGACAACCGAGTAAGTAATGATGTAGTTAGGAAATGAGTACTAGGTAGGGATGGCAGATCGATAGTTGAAGTAGTGAAGCTTTATCAGTTGAGGTGGTATGGATGTGTGTTACGTATGACCAACCACCGACTGCCTCGTCGAGTTATGTTTTGTCATGTAGTGATCGGTTAGTGGAAAGCACAAATCCTTGAGGTCAGTGACAAGTGTACTGACTCATTTTGATAGATATAGACTACCTGGCTGTGATATTCAAGATGAAAGTAGTTGCAATTTCGCAGGTTCCTCCATTCTTTGTGTTCTCTCAAATGCTAATCTTCTGAATTCCTCATGACTGTTTTTTTATCTTTTTGTTTAATCGATTCTTCTTGGGTATGCATCTCAAATCATATATTCGATCATTCTTCACCTTTTTGATTACTGCCAATACGTCTACTACCTCTACTACTATGGAATTTGAATTGAAAATTGCGTCTCTGTGCTAATATGGCATGGCAGCTTGAACTGATGTACGTACGTACGAATTTCTACGTTTTAACTGACTGAATGACTTAATTGTTTGTATTCTAAGTTGTTAAGTATTTTCGTATTCAATTACCTGTAGCAATCAACAAATATAAAAAGGCCATTAAAATGTAATTCTATTAAACGCGCATCGATGTATTCTCTTTTCCTGTGTTATTTATCAACCTTAAGCATACTATATGTGTATGCAAACTTGACTACCATGGTCGGTACTGCCAAGACAAAATAAATGCTTGTCTGTTTCGTATTGAACATCATTTACAACCAAATGGTGGAACAAAGATTGCTGGTAATACAGCATGTAATATTAATAATTCAAGCAATAAATGTGTCTCACTAATAAGCGCTGAAGGTGATGCATCGTATCAATGTCAATGTGATGAAACTCATTGGATGCCAGATATTCGATTGCCTTATCCTAACTGCATGCATAAATTTACAAAATGCGATTCTATTGTATGCGTAAATGGATTTTGTGTTACGAATGATCATAATGATCAGGTAAGTGGTCATATTATACCTGTATACTCATTATTTTATCACAATTTATAAATAAGAAAATTTGTATGTCGATGGATTGAATAAATAATAATGCTTGAAGTGGTTGAGATGGATAAATTTTTCTTGAAAAATCTCAGACTCACTGTCGTCAGCAGGATTAATATCTCTGTGTGTTTACTAGCTGACTCGTTTGAATGACTGATTGTCAGGTACAGACATCAGATATTCTACGTTTATATTAGAAAGAAGCATCAAGTTCTTACCTAGTAAATTGATCATCTACTAAGATTTTCATTCGTAATCTAAGTTTAAACTACTCCAACGGCGTTAGGTTAACAGTAGGATCTATTTTGTTTGCAGGTATCCGTTTTAGATGTTTTTTGTAATACTGTAAAATAAGAACCTAAGCGTAACTTTAGTTAAAACGGCTTAAATTTAGTCTTGGATGATTTCCCTGTTTCGGAAAAGTAAATTCATGTAATTAGTACAAGAATTTATTCAAGATATGTTCGATCACAAGAAAGTTGAGTACAACACAAGTACACCGAAGAGTAATGCGAGGCGCAACTAAATGAATTGTGAATAACAGTCATAGTTATAAGAGTACAATAGAGTTGATATGAAGTTTAAATAAAAGTGAACCCCTAATGTTATAATGAGTATAAGCAGTAGGCGTTTCGAAGTATGTTACGGTCGACTATTTTTGTTATGGATACACCTTGAATAAATGTACCTTAGATAGCTTTTTTCAGTTTTCTAAAGAAAAATTTCTTGTTCGGTTTGAAGAACGAGAAATTTTTGTTAAACATGAAGCAAACCTTTCAACATGCTGAGAAAAATCTAATGATGAATTTGAATGTCACTATGAAAAACTGTAGCATGCAACATAACAGGCTTAATACAAAGATTTGTCTCGATGTCTTTGCTTCAAAAACGAAATCTTCGTATATTACAGGCATTCGTAAATCAGATTATGGTTTTAAAAATTTTTGCTTCCCTATTTTGTTCCTAACTGAACTAAGGACATAACGAACTGATATATGCTGACTAATATCAAACGGGTATCACTTAAGTGAAACAATGTTATTACCGTATTTTTTAATTGATTTGATATATATACATAATATGTTAAATTGTTTTTCTAAAATAGGCTAAATGTGTATGTAATCCTGGTTACAGTGGACTTGCTTGTGAAGAATGGGTTGGTGAATGGTCTGAGTGGTCGAAATGGGATCAATGTCGACCAGCCTGCGGAAGTATACGTTATAGCTTACGTCAGAGAGATTGTTTATCAATGAAATTGGGGAATAAATCAAAATCGTGTTTGGGTTCATCTATAGAATATCTTAAATGTTCGGAACACTTATGTAAATGTAAGCAGTTAGCTTACAGAATACAAGAATAAATTATTTGTTTATTGATTTTATAAAAGAGAGGAAAGAATCTAATAATTATAATAACCAATTCTACACATGATTTTAGTGTGAAATCTAAATCGAACCTAGGACCTTTGGTCTCGCTCGCGAACGCTTAACCTCTAGACCAGTGAGCCAGCATACAACTGTATTAATGTCTAACTTCGATCAATCCACGGTCTTGAGCAACATCATCCGCTTTCTTCGGTGAGCACTGCTTCACACGAGAGTGGCGTTGAACTCCACTGGTTAAAACGTCTTACTAGAACTCGAAGAAACTTCCTCACAGAGTTAGTCTAGAAGTTAAGCGTTCGCGAGCAAAACCTACAGTCCTATATCCGATTCCTGCGAGCGGGATTCGTGGATCGCATTGCTAATGGGTCCCACGCCAGAAAGAAACGGCCGTCCAGCGGTTCCAGGTTTCTGATGGTGGTCTAACATTGATCGATATACGACTTCAAAGTAACTCAACAATCTCCACAACCCTATAGTGAAATCAAAATCTCAGTTAAATGTAAATTGAATGCCAGCCTCACGTTTTAGGGATCCCTATATAAAGGAAACAATCCCATACTCACTAGTGGTTTTCTTTGAAACAGATTTTCCAAAAGTCTGCTGCAAGCGGTATGTGATGGATCCAATCATAGAGGGAAAAGGACAATTGTATGCTGATCACTTTGAATGAAATCTGTATTATATCACCAAATAGATGAAGATGTGCACAAATGAATTCCAACTTACCAACCTATAAGTTTTCATCACGATAACCGAACGTTTAAACTACAATGGCGAATATGCAGTTGATTAATAAATCGGTGCCAAAATCATGGTACCTTTCATAAATTCTTATTAACTTAGTAATAGTCAAATATAATTTTAAATTCAATTCCACTTCAACTATTAAAATTAAAATTCGATCCAGTATCACTATTTACAATTAGAATCTTATGTTACTTAGTTGAACAATCACTAGAAATAGGTAAATTAATTGTAAAGCAATCACATTCATAAACAAGACTCATTAAGAGGTGGTTCTGATAAGACTGACAAGTAATCAATCATTACTAAATGAAGTAATTATGTTGCAGTAACAATCCATAATTCTGTCATATTCTCTTTTTGAATTCCTGCATCAAGAACTAACAACTATTATCTTTTAGTGGAAATGCTTTGAAAATCTTGCACGATATTTTAAAGTTTTATTATTTGAATGCCTAATTCCACTTGCCAAAATTAATCCACATGTCTATAATAATTTTCAGAAACGACTATTTATTTGTCAGTTTTTAATGGGCGCTTTTATTTTATTTTGTAAGATTATCTATTAATTACACATACAAACAGACACATCACCTACTGAAAACATTTACAGGATATATTATAGCTCTTTTATGTTTTCTTTTTAAGATAAAGGTATACCTTATTCTGATGTATACTATGCAATACAACAGAATGCTATTGTTATCAGTTTTACGTTTGGTGGTGTACTTTGTGTTACGATTGTTATATTTTGGATTTTATTATTTTCGGTGTTTATAAAATCATCCTATGGTTTACTAAAGAAATTATATTTGCAAAAACGAAAAATAGAAGTCAAAAAACCACAACATATGACACTAGAACAAGATGAACGTGAAATGTCTGCGAAAAGATATGGAAACATGGACGATACAAGTGACGACAAGGAAGAAACTAATAATTGAAAGATTTTTATTGATTATTACATGTTTATACATTTTACAAAGTGAAAATATTTACCGTATTTATCATTCATGAATTATTTAATTAACTAATTGTTTTATCATTTTATTCGTATTGGTTATTTGAATCTTCCCATTGATGTTTAAGATTGCAATTGATCAGTCTTTTTGGCAAATGCACTGAAAATACCAACAGTTAGATGCAAGTGATTTCTGAACGTAAAAAATTAAGGGAATTCGTTAACCAATTAGTTTATTGTGGAAATCATACTCGGAACATGTTGGAACGATGTATCCATATCATTTTTTATGAAATTTTAAACAGCAAGAACTCAATAAAGAGACTAGATAATAATAAAAATAATATTACTAGTCGCCAGAACAATAGTAAAAGGAAATGTGAAAGACCAACAATAAATCTTGTTAACAAGAGGTGAATATATATATATATATATATATATATAGTGTTTTAAAAATGCATAGAGCCGATTAGTATAAAGTCTTTATCAGAACTCCAGAAATTCTTGAAAAAGTTTACATGATTGAGGGTTGATTGGACCATCCGGACGACAGTCTTTTCGACACTATAAATGGCAGTGGTTTAAAAGAAAAAGGAATTGTTTGTAAAAATATGGTTGAAATTCATAAAAATAAAGGATATTAATGATATGCGTAATAATTAATAATACATGAATCGATGAATTCAGTAATATTAATGATGTATTACATCTAAATACTCAACCTCGAACCAAGATTTTTGTATGAGGACGAATGATTCTACTAGGACTGCCTGCTAAAGTAAGTTAATGATTTAGAGTAAGATGCTTTAACCACTAACCCAACACATGATTGATTATTGGAAGAACCAGAATATGAAATATTTGAATTAATTCAATTTCCGTAGATTTCACTCACAGAAATGTGTTGATAATTTACAAATGTTCGAAAACTATAGCTGAATTACCAGTCATTTGAGAATTAGGAAGCTTTTCTATAGTATATTTTGACAGCATCTAGCAAAACTAAGTACTGCTTCTCACACGAGCAGCAACTGTGACGCGTTTAACAACTGCATACGACTCTCCAATTCCCTTGTCCTAAAGTTTACACTGTATTTCATTGGTGAATCGATATCAAGCATCCAGAATACGTTTTCTGTATGTAAAATATATGGGGTTATATAGCCTTGACAGGGAAGCTGAAAGAATGAGATTTATTCGACAAAGTAAACTCTTGCTTTCACGTCTACATTCATAAAACAGTATAATAAAGCGGAAAATACACAACGGCTACAACTAATGTTTCAGATATGATAGTAGAAGATTACTGACGGTTAACTTTTCCCTTGAAAAAAAATATCTGTAGACTATTAGAAAAATCGTTTACTGCACCAATTGTTTCATTTAACCAATTGAACACTAAACTAACCAACTTAACATTAGCAACACTTACTAGGCATATTGTACAAGGGATATTGGCTAAATTTGCAACACAGGGTGTTTGTGTAGCTAGTCGATAAAGTATTCCAAAACTAGTACTTTGTTCAGATGTTTCAGAAGTGATACGTGTTTCCAACTCGCCCCCGAACTTCAAAACCTCTAGAACACATTGGACATCCTGAACAGTCATAGCTACCTAAAAAATCACAAGGTGTTTATAAAAGAAAATTACGTGAATTTTCGAGTTATCTACTTACATATAAATCACGCACATACAAAATATAAAAGTACATTTTTTACACGACCTATCATTTGATATTATAATTCCTAAAGTAAAGGCAATATCATGATATTAGTGTTGATATTCAGTGGTCTATTCGTTCAGATATAGTCGCTTTGTTTAATACTGTACATTAAATGAGTAAAACTAAATCATTTATAACAACAACTTATTATATGTATGTAAATGAATTTTGTTATACATTAAGAACTCCTAATCATTTCTAGAAATTTAGACTTTGACAGATCGAAATAGTGGAAATTTTCTATGTACCATGTAGCAAGAATATTTTTGTTCATCAACAAGACTATGCGTAAAATCTACTAAGTTAGGGCTTCCAATACTACTACTCAGATGTCTAGAGCTTTGATTTATGACGCAACAGACTGAAGTTCAGTATACAGAGTTAGGTTGCATAGCTACAAACAAATGCTAGATATCAGAGAGGTAAATAAATCGTTGACATAGTGTTCATTGAACAAAATCAACAGTTTTAAAATGAATTTCCTAACTTCATACCTTTTTAATCAACTCTCGAGAGCGGTGACCTTTAGGAAAGTATTCCCACTATTTACTTATAAACCAATCAACGTGTCAAAAATAAAATGGTGACTGAAGTAATTTAATTTGCGAAGTTCCTTAGGATAGTTATGCTTAATTAAAATTCAGAAATACATAAAATGCATTTTACATTCAGTTTTAGTAAGAAAATGGGTTTAAGTAGTCAAACCTAATGTTTTTGTGTTACTAGAATACCACATATCTTTAAATTTATATAGAGTACAAAATACTTTGCAAACATAACTCTGATGTTTCGGTGATGTATTTTTCCCTCCAGTCGGTTGGGACCTATTCCTCTTCTTAAACCTTGCTGGACAGAGCGTGGAGTATCTTTGCAGTTAGTTCTATGTCTTCTTTTAATGCCTCGGCTGGTATGGTGTCTGGCTCTGAAGCTTTCCCACTCATGATTTTTCTGGTGGTCATGATGATTCTTTCGATTGTTGGTGCGGCGACATCATTTGGGATGTTTACAGGTGCTGCTCCGATATCTGGTAGGTTCAGTGTTGATGGTCTATTCAAGAGTTCTTCAAAATGCTCTTCCCATCCGTTCCACTATTCTTGGATCTCTCACCATTTTCGTTCTTTGTCTCAGCCCGTGCCGTCCCATGATGTCTTTATATCCGGTGTTGTCCATTTTAACCCTGATGTTTAGGTCTCCCATCATAATAGTTAGGTCTCTTTTTGGTCATTTCTATAAGGTTGACTGCAGCCTCTCATGAAATCGATATTTATTGTTTTCGCTGCCATCTTTAGACAGAGCATAGCACTGAATGACATTCATTGTAATACCCACTTTTCTGTCTTCAAGGATTCTTTGATGATCCTGGGTCCATGAGATTCCCATCTTATAATTGGTTTATGTGCTTTTTTGGATATCGTCAGTGCAACTGCTTCTATGCAAGGCGTGTTTTTCTTCATGGTTGAAGTACAACAACACTTTCCCGAAGTTAAACTTTTCTTGTTCACCCTCAATCCGATAAGTTTCACTTATCCCAAGCATCATGAGGTTATATCTATTCATGTTCACAGCAACTTGAATGGTTCTTCCGGTATCCCACACTGTGTGGACATTCTATGCAATTGTTAATCTAGTCGTCAAAATGGGCATCAGCCGCATAAATTCGGAAAGATTTCGGCTTGCACGATGAGGCTTCATAACTCCCAAGAGAGAGTTCAAATGGCTTAGATTATTTTTTCCAGTTAGCGCTAGTTTAGCAGCTGGTATTCTATGGGATGGGATCACTAACCCCATGTCCAACCTTCCTCCTTTATTCGGGCTTGTGATAAGCAATAACTCGAAAAGGGCTCCATGTGGAGTGATAACGTATTGTTCTCGTAGTCAAATGAATTGTGTTAGAGAGTGGATCGCTTTCTTAAGCAAAGATTTTTGCATAATAGAAAATGTTCGGGAATTTACGTTCGTTTTGAGCGTCATAAATCTTGTAAGAGCTGTTCGTCACTCGTTCATACATGGAAGCACTAAGAGCATATGAAACAAAATATTTATCACAGATGTACCCTCCAACACAGTTCAATTGATTACGAAATAATAACATTATAATACACAACTAATAATTTTGATAAACAGACTCATTTTTCATTAAACCACAAAATGTGACTATTAAGTCTATGCTTTATGACTGCTATCCAGTAGCAACAGATACAGAATTCTGAAATAACTTCTACGACGCAAAACGTGACAGTGTTCTGAATGAATAGCAAACTATTTCAGTGGTTTAGATAATAACATGATCAAAACGAAGATTGGTCGCTTTACTAGCCGTTCTTAATTATTAATGTATCATGAATGGTACGTAACACCTAACTTACAAAAAGCCCTTTACCTCCAACGCAGTAATAGACGAACTCAATTTCACATTCATCAACTAAATAATTCGAAAGTAATTTTATATACGAGTCAGACCCATACTCGGTGATTCCAGAGAAGGTTGAGTTAATTGACGAAGATAATATGAATTACCTCAATGTTATATACACCTAGTATCTGGACCATAAATGATAATATAAACCGGTACTTTATGAGTTTTATTTACTAACATCGTAAAAGAATATAAAAGGACTAATTGTACGCAGAAAACGGACAGTTATTCGTCTACTTATTACATTTTATTGTTATGCACATGTAAAGTTGCCCGATCTCATCATTTTTGTTGACGATAGTTATTTGTGACTGTTGGTAAAGCATCAGAGATTAATGGATGTAATTCGATTTACAAAATTAGGTTACTTATTATGCACAAAACAGGAAATAAATCCAGAACGACCGACTACTTCATAAATATTCAGGAAGTACAGACTGTTTTTCATCATATAAATTACCAAGATTATTATTTTATCGGGGAGTAGAAGAACTGTTTGATTTGGACTTATCTGTCTGTACAAAAAATTAAATTCCACAAAAGCATTACTCTGTTTTTTATTTGTGTATAGACACTTGCGATTTCTGTAGAATTACTTGTAATTACTGGTCAGACCATTTGATGTTAAAGCTTCCATGATTTGAAAACAGGCTTTCACTTTATGTAGAACTTCCAGGGAATAATTCAGCGTGTAAATGAATATGCTTTCCTAAGTTTACCAATGGTGCAAAATGTACAGACAAAAACATCCAGTGTTCAAGAAATATTTTAAAAATATTTCTACGAAATAACAGTCTATTCTTGTTTAGCAAATATGTTCAGCAGTAGTTAATAATTCTCACTGATAGGGAGTGAAGTAGTTGAACGTGTTGATCGCTTCACTTATCTTGGGAGTCTCATCAGTGCCGATGGCCTGGTGACTGACGAAATCTCAGCTCGGATACAGAAAGCTCGATTGGCTTTTGCCAACCTGCGTCACTTATGGCGTAGGCAAGATATCCGTTCTCTTATCAAAGGACGAGTGTAATGTGCAGCAGTTCTCCTATATGGCTGTGAAACATGGCCAGTGAGAGTAGAAGATATTCGTAGGTTACTGGTTTTCGATCATAGGTGTCTTCGAAGCATTGCTCGTATACCGTGGGACAACCGAGTAAGCAATGCTATCGTTAGGAAACGAGTACTAGGCAAGGATGGCAGATCAATCGATGAAGTGGTGAAACTTCATCAGTTGAAGTGGTTGGGACATGTGTTGCGTATGCCCAACCACCGACTGCCTCGACGAACTTTGTTTTGCAGTGTAGGAGTAGGCTGGAAGAAAGTTAGGGGCGGCCAAAACAAAACATGGCAGAAATCCATGAAGTCATTGACTAGTGGACTGAGCCATGTCGGTAGTTGTCGACTACCTGGTTGGGGTCCGCGAGATGATAATAATCGATGGTTAGAGACCTTGAATGACATGGCTCAAAATCGTTCGCAATGGCGCCGGTGCATTTATTCTTTGTGTTCTCTCAAACCCTAATTTTCTGGATTCTTCAACACCTCTACTTTCGACTCTCTAAACTTTTCTCACTGAATCATACTTCTTGAATAGTATCTTCTAATCCTAACCTCTCCGATTACTTCTAATTCCCTTACTACCTCTTCTAATATTGGATTTGAATTGACGAATACTTCTCTGTGCTGATATGGTATGGCAACATGAACTGATGTACTTATGTACAAAGTTCTACGTTGCATCTGACTGACTGACTGAATGATTCTCACTATTTAAAGATGAAATTTGTGGTACTATCTTGAAATAATCCGGGATTGTTACTGATCACACTACATAGAAATATAAATGCAGCTTGATGCGATTAGTGCATTCTGATTTAGGACTTACAGTGCAAATTTTCGTGTTAGTGATAAACCGATGAATTTCTTCGCAAGATACATATGAAGCTTGCCGACGCTCTAATGGATCAGCAATATGGGAAGCTGAATTTGCCTACAAAATGTGGATCAGAATGTGTCACAAGGAAACCTTATCCTGAAGATACTTTAGGCAGGCTGTTCTTAAAATAGAAATGAACTCTGCATCTACACCGGATTCGCCAGCGAACAGGGTATTTGCTGCTAACTTTTCACTGGGTTCTAATTCCATCAGCAAATAAACTTTCTGCTTGTGACCAATAGCCATAGGTACTTCTTTGATCATCTTCTTAGAAATGAGTGATTTTAGTATTCTAGGTATGCGATTCTGGGGTAGTTTGGTTTCTGAACTAATTTGCTTCAGTGATGCAGCTAAGTTAGAAATTGAGGTAAGAAAATGAGATTAAAAACAATATACCGTCTTCACCGGCGTTACGTATAGCATTGTAAACTAAATGTTCTTCTAGATCCGATAGGCTTTTTAACTTCCTGACAAAAAAATAACATCTATTATAGATTTACTTACTCAGCCGAATTTTGATCTCTAAGTTGCCATGACAGGGTCCTATCGGCATTAACCAAAACATCCAACATCCCCTCCTTCTGTAATGCATTTAGGATGGGTAGGATGGTAGTGAGCGATACGTCGGAAAATTCCTTTTCAAAATGTTTTTGTGTAAGAACTCCTCGTGATGACTTGAATAAATTGAGAACCCTAGCCAATTTGGAATGATGTTTTGAAGATAACGAACCTTTCTCGAAGACTACTAGAATCTTCTTTCATCAGTGATAAGGAAACACAATCTTGAGTAAGAAAAACCTGGCTTTAAATGACGCTAAAAGAAGAAAACGTGATTATTTATAGTGCTGTGTAATATGATACAGTAAAACATCCGATATCACGTGGCAATATTTTTAGCCTCTTATAAGAAGTCCAGTGTTCTTGCATAAAAAATATATCCACAAACTACATATATGTAATTATCGAAGTCTATAGTCGAAATAATGTATAATCGTCAAAGGTTATAGATTTCAAGTGTTATTCAAAGAAAGTGGACACTGGCTATGGAGGCACAAGTTAGATTCATGATCGCAACAGGTCCAGAGACAGTTTATGGCATTTGGTACTGTACGGTACCGATTGGAAATAATGAATCTTCGTAGACTTCTTTGGCTCCAACCTACAGACACGAAACTGATGACTGAATAGCCTTTTGGAGCTTACATTTCAGAAAATTTTGTAAAGATGACGCTAGTAATCGGATAGAAATTTGATTGCAAGTAAACAAACAAATAATTTTTACTCTCCACTAGTCGCTTAATATTTAGACATTGAAGAAACGTGAAGATTACAATGTAGCCTCACTATGGAATTCACTGTTTCGTAGTAATTAGATGACCGCATCTTCTACAAATAAATTTCGCAATTCCTCTGAAAAACAGAGTATTCTACACAAAGATAAAAAATATCCAAAGTCATGAAAATAACTTTACACCACTAAACTATTACTTTCCAATAAATAGGTTACTTAAGAACAATTCCTTAACAAGTACCAAAAAATGTTTTAAAGTTCATAGAAAGAATGAAAGAAACCTGTGAATTAGATTATTTCTGTGAACACATAAAATCAGTGAGAAAAAGTACAAATTATCAATTCATTAAGAATACCTTATTGAAGCACTTCATATGTCGAACGACCCATGCATAGGTCACACCCAAAACCAAGGTCACGCTGTGTAACGTATAAAAATCACCGGGTGGATAAGAATGTAGAGGTAGTCGACATAATACCGTGAATTTCAGTTTAGTGCTATCTCATACTCGTTACCAAGAAATCTTCGCGATCCTGAAAAAATCAAGCCTTTTTAGTAGATTCGAATTTAAAAAACCAGTTAAATAATCGGAAATGTCAACGATAGGAGTTCACGATCATCTTGAAAATACTGATTGTACGCGGATGCGTCAGGTGTGAAGTCTGTAAGGAATCATATAAAATTAGAGAACTAGGAAAGAAAAAAATTGCTTGGTCGGGCAATTAGCTGTAAATCTACCTTGTTTGTTAGCAATGATAAACGTGTGGTTGAGATGATTCAGCCATCAAAACTAGGTCTCAAGTTGTCAAATCATGTATACACCACTGAGTTAACCAAATAATGTCTGTCTTCCTTAAGAATGAGAACTTTGTATTCATAGACGAATGAATGGTATAGATTTCATATTCCTCAAATCATTTATTACTGGTCGAATTCTTTTGATCCAGTTACGATCTGGCAAATGTTCTCAGCGAATGTGTAGGGTTCTGAGATAGGGAGTAGTTTGAGATGGTTGATAGAAATCCAGAAGGCTTGATTTATTTTAATTTTTCATAATGAAGACTTTCTGTAATCTTCATTAAGGAAGTGAACTTCGAAGTAATAATTTGAAAATAACTCCAAGAGGTTAGCCAAATATATCTTTTTCTCTACACATGTAAGATGTTGGTTCTTAAATTTAGCTCTTATGAAATACTTTAAGGTTTATAATAGAAGACCTTCCAAATAGTCATTCACGTTGATTCCGACACGTGAAAACAGCGATTCCGCGGGGTTTTAATTGCGGTTTATAATAGTTGTCAGGTACAGCGGCAGTAATGAAATGTTTGTCAGTGGTGCTAAGAACAACTTGTAGCCATATAAACATGTGGTCAGTATTTTTACCCTTTACTTATGACCATGATTAAAGCTTTTGTAACTAAGTACAAAGTTTTCATTTTTCATAAACTTAAGTCTTTAAAACATTGTTTAGAGACTTTGAAGGACGAATTCAGAAGTTTATACAAGCCTTGCATATTCATAAATCAAAATTAATTAAATTAAATTAATTACAAAAACAGTTTTTTATAACCTTGAATTTACCTCAGTATTCTTTAAGCCATTTTATGGCCTAGGGCGATGCAACAGGTTGCTACCCTTACTTATAATTTCTAAATTAAGATATTGTTCTCAATCCTTCATTTACAATTATCACCTCACATCTATTTAACCTTTTATTAATTTCATATAAAGGGCCCTGACAGGTATACGTGTCACCAGATTGCTCGAAATTTATAACGTGAATTAGCTACATTTTTCGGAACGATTACATCTCACTGTTCTATCAAAATTTATAAAAGGGACTAAATTTTTTCAGTATTGTTGACAAACATTTTGCCCATGCATGAAACTAGACCGTATTATGTTAAAAATGTCCGAAAATACGGGACGAAGCTGAATTTCGGAGTCGCAAAGCTGCTGTAGGACAATCGTGAACGATCATCTGTAACTTTTTTCATGTGATTTATCTTTCTAGTTATCTTTGGTATTTTTACTCCCAGCGAAATTCTTATATCCAGACACAGCCTCATGGAATTCATTAGAAACAGACACTTGTTGAGCGCACCTATTAGAAAGTTTGGCTGTTCGAAAACACTCAGCAAACCTACAAATGGATACGCTTTATGGCATCTCACAGACTGTAAGCCTCGTTGCAATATACGTCTCGATGATGTGCATATGAATTATTCACCAAAGATATGTTCAATCTTTCAACTGAGTATATGCAGACTGAGTACCCAACGGCCACTTGCAACAAGTCTACACGCAACACTATCAACCCCAACGGCTTTTTAATATACTCCAATACTTTCGCCAACGATAATCCTAAGAAAAAAGAATGTCAGATTCGGAGGTTTATTGCTAAACGAATTCTTGGTCGGTGTTCTAGATAATCGTGATCCCGGAACCGTAACAAATTGAAATGGTAATTGCCATAGATTTTGAGAAGTGTAGAAAAGCTTCAGTATTTTCTAAGTGCCATTGTGTATAACATGCCTAAGAAGACAATCCTGATATTTCATCAAACACTCAACTAAAAGAGTTTGGATTATCCGAGTAGTTTTGTGTAGCACGAAGGTTGCTTAATGTTAAGACTAAGGTCTCCTGTTACATATATTTTCAATTTCTCCGTATCATGGAAGGTAATTGCTTCATTAATAATCAGTCGTTGCCTTAACACATTCTAATATTTCAGAAGATTGGAATGATCCGTGACAGGAACAGGATAAGCCGTCGTATTGCCAATGAGACCAATGTCAAAAAAGGAGGGGGGAGGTGTGTGTGAACAGCATTCATGGAAGTGGGGTGAGAACCATAATCCACTCATGCCTATGAGTCAGAACATTTTGTTTGCTCCTAACAATATTGTAGAATGTAATTATTCAATCATAGTGTCTGTTACTTTTCCATATCAACCACGGTTATGGCTCCTCTTCGTAACTTTGAACCGGTTTAACGTCCTACCAAGAAAACCTTATTTGTCGAAAAAGATCTTTGAATTGAACCAGTTTCGGTTGACTAAAATCAACACTGCAGGCCAATTACGTTCCCGTCACCAGGTGTAATATATCCGTTACCAAGGCAGAGAAGAGTTGATCCATACAAGAGAATTTATTGTTAGAGGTTTTTAGTATCTAAGGAACACCGAAATCCTGCCAGAAAACAGGGTCGAAGTCAAAGCGAGCAGCAGCAACGCAAAAAGAGAGTTTGCGCGTATGAAGTGAAGGAATAAACAAATAGCACAGTGAAACAATCACTGATACAATAGGTTGTAATAATAAATGTTTCTATTGAACCAATCGCGTTCACCTCAAGAAAGTGGAGTAACTACAAGCTCATCCGTGAATTCTGGAACAACAGAGTTAATAAACAATAAATGAATAAAACAATAAACAATAAATCAGTCACTCAAGCACCAAGTCACTATTTCTTCAATGTTATATTCAGGAAATTAACGTAATTTCTGACAATTTAGTTCTCTTGAATCTCCTTGATTTAAAATATTTTTTACGTTCGTTATCTCACTAATGTCTTGTCTTCATTGACCTAAATAAGTGCAGACGTACAGTTAGTGTTTTAAGGCAGAAGAAACAAAGTTTGAATAGTCATACCTTTGCTTTATCCAAAAATGTTATCAGCTGAGACATGACAAGAATAATTTCTGTTCGGCCCCTCTCATCTTTCTCTTTTTTAGCCTGGATAGTTGCCGAAGACTTGGTTACTATATCTAGGAGTCTAAATTTATTGTCTGACGAATTTCAACAAGATCTTTGCTCATTTACCACATCAGTTCTCGTTATATTTAGCCTGGATTTATCTTGTATTGGCTCTCAACCAACAGTGGTTCCTCGCAATGCGACCTTCATAACTCGACCAACTATCGTAGTGTACAATCCACAGTTTGAGTTCTAGCCATCTATAAGTAATCAGTGTATCTTGTAGAGTATTTACGTAGCTAAACAAACTTTAGTAAACGTGCGTCCTGAGTTCAAAAGTTCAAATACCGTCAAATCAGTGATTTGTTAGCCTTCGTAGAGCATAGGCTACTGACCAGATCTCAACAAACAACTCTATCCTCAGCCTCTTTGTTTAATTGTTCTCATTTTCTATTCATTCTTTCGGCATTTGCTTCCTAATCTCGTCACAATATGTTCTTTTTTCTACCTCTTATCCTTTCACCCTGAGGATTCATATTGTTGAGGCTCTCTCTGATCTCCTTACTGTGTACTATTCAGCTGAGGAAGCCTAAAGTTTGCAGAATGTACCCCATATTAATTCTTAATCTAGACTGCTGATAGGGTTCACAAATAAGAACTTCTTGATTGATGAGTCTAAGCGTACACGCTTCAAATTGTGTTTTCAATGCACTCCATTGGATACTGCTCATTTATCTTTTCAAACTTGAATATCATAGAGAAGATACGAGTGAAAATATCCACAGAAGATTCGAATGGTGACATCTTGGATAAAACCATACTCTTGACTACACAGGAAGATGGAAATATTAGTAGTCCACCGTCGGCCTTGACTATTACGGATAACAACAAGCATGACCTGACCCAGAAATGAAACTGCTAAGGTAAGGCTTGTATTACGAAGCTAATGAATACAAATTTGAAAGAAATAATCGTTTATGTACAAGAAAGATCAGCAGGATCGTATAGACTTCAAGATTACCTAGCGGCTACATAGTGCATTCAGACGAGAGAAAAGTCTAATATATATACAAGAAATGAATAATATAAAGATCCTAACCAGCCATAATTACAATGCCAAAAGTGTGTCTGACATTAATTTGGTTGCAGATCTCAGAAAGAGAGGATGTGAAGTGAAATGGAGTCGAATTTTTCTCCGAAAAAGAAGCAATATTCCAGTTGGAATCCATTTGTGCTTTGAAGCTAACATCTGCCTTAGGAATATATTTTTAACCTAAAGTGATAATATTTAATTATTGTAAGTTGTTAGATTCAAACTCTGCTGAAAATTGAAGACTTCTGTTTACTGGAAAACGGAAGCTACTTTGAAATGAATTTTACCAAGGTCTGACGTTTGCAGCACCTTGCCAATATGAAGAGAGGTATTTGGCACCAAGGCTGAAGAGAACACTGATAAAAGAAAGCAGTTCCGAGAGCAAATCGTTCCGTGATTTGGCGAGTTACATCTAGCGCGGCCATTCATGGACCACCACCAATATCAGGGTTGATAAGGGTTAAAGATGTTTGATCCCTGGGTTTATGATACTCTACACATGCTTGTTGTCCCAAGAAGCGGTGACGTTTTAGCTGTGCCATGTAGCGTACATACACTGAAGTGAACATTCGCTGGATTACTTGAGCTTGCATATTACCATTGGGTTGAATTTCGCTCATCAAAACCGGATAAC